CTCCCAATGAACTTTCAAAATAGAACTTCAACTTGATATAAGACTCCAATCGCATTTCAAACTGAATTTTCCTTGACGTGCACTTCAATTAAAAATTTCAATACTTCAAACAAGGAATTCGGGTCACAACCAAATTTTAACCTTTTGTCTCAAGGAAAAAGTGTTATATCACTTGCCTCGGATTTTTCGTTTGTCTCTTCTTCCTTTTCTTTTCGTTTTCTATTCCATATTAAGTTTAATTACGTTCCTACGAATTAAACTTTACCATTCACTTTATCAATTACAAACAACCATTTCACTGCACAATTAACCAACAGATACAATGGTGAATTATGCGATAAGTAAACTCTATGTCAGGGGAATGCAAGGCGGAGCCATTCCAATTCGAGCGAACTTGCATGTTGAAGCCGTCGATAAGTGTAGGCGTGGGTCAATTTAGGTCGGTTTTGAGCCCAATCAAAAATTTAATATAAGTCGGTTTGGTGATGTATGAAGAGAGTTTTTACGTTTATAGGTGTAAATAATAAAGCAAATAAAATCAGATTAAATAAAGGTATTGAGAAAATAAAATCCGGTGAAAATTCCCAGATTTACAAGAGAATATAGTTTCTAAAGCGGGACGGGGCGGGTTCGGGGCTGGATTAGGAGGGGAGGGGAGGGGAGGGGCGGGGCGGGGCGGGGCGGGACCCCGGCCACATTTATTTTTTCTTTTTATTTTTTGTTTATTTTATTTTTTGCTTTTATTTTTTATGTCTTTAGTTAGTAAATATATATATTTTTTTTACTAATTTGTTAAAAACAACGATGTTCTCTTTAAAAATGATGATAAATGTATTATTTTCGTTTGATAAAAAACTTTAATTTGAAATTAACTTTAAACAGGATGAGTAGCAAAATCTTTCATAGGTCTCTTTCCGAAATCGTGTCAAATGTGACTTAATTAGGTTCCCTCATATGTCTCTTCATTGGAATTATGTAAAATGTATAAAATTTGTGACCTCGAATGCATTGGACGAATGTTATGTATGTATTTTCACATTGTGAATTCAGTTGTGTATAATGTTATGTGCTATGACGTTCTTGTCTTTTTAACTTTAATTAGTTCATCCGAAAGTTGTGACATATAAGATGAGAATTATTTTTTATTTTATTTTATTTTATTGCTTCCTTTCTCCAGAAAAAATCGTATCTACACTTTAAAAATAAATAATTTCATAAACTACTACATACTGTATTATATATGTAATATACTTTTTAATATATAAAATAAAACCCAAAATACTGATTCCTAAAATTACACATATTTAAATGTGTATATCTGTTTTAAATTTTGTAACTGAAAATTGCAAAATACACCATAGATTAGGCTGTCATTAATTCTATCTCCAAATCAGGCACAATTTAGGGGAAAAAAAAACACACGTGGAAGATGATATCAACATATATGGGATAAATAGTTTGTGTATGTTTCTTCATCATCTTCAGCAATCACCTATAGTTAATTTCAAAACCATTATATGAAATAGGTCAATCGTTTTAAAATATCACTCATCACAATAATTTTGCATTTCGTTGTCATATCAAAAAAATCATTGACGATAATTTCGCTAATCAAAAAACCATTTTGTTTATAATATCCTTTTTTTCAAAAATCGACCACATTCTCTGATTCAGTTT